CCGGTGATTTCCTAGGAAAACACATCCGCAGGTGGTTAGGGATCCACACCCTCAACATAAATCTCTCGGGAGCTATAACTCTCAGGAACGATGTTTTTCTTTGCAAAACGTGTACTGAATGTGGGTGTACTACAACGGTCACGTTCTCTTAGATCGACACTCTTTCAGTCGACCGGGCTTGCTCTACGATCGACTCTCTGATAGTCGATCTCGCTTCAGCGTGTTGTCCATCCTGAACAACACTAATCTCTCTTCTCGGATGCACCCTTCTTGGTGTGCATCCGCGTTTCAGTTCACTCGATCTCTTCGAGTGGTGAACCTTCGGCAGCCTGTGTCTCTACACAGGTGCCGGAAGCTAATTCCACATTGTAGTGGCCTTCTACACTGTCATATTGTGCTATCATACTAACGACCGTACCACAAGTGAGGCCATCGCACTCACTCGTAGTACGCCCACACGCTTTTCATACGCTCCAAGACATTCATCAGATGGCCATCTGATGAAAAAACGGCAGTCATCTTTACGGATCGATGATGCCAGCTAACCCACGGCCGATACTTTCTAAGCCATGGCAGACCGAGGATGACATCAAATTTGGCATCCAAATTTAGTGCGATGAAGTCATCATCGTACTGCTTTACTTCTAGCGTGTACTGGATCCCACTACACGTTTGTTCACTGTTACGGATGCGCCTGTAGCAAGGCACACCGTCATCCTCGTTGGAGGGAACTTTCGCTCAACATAGTTGAGTCTATTATCCTCCAGCGACTGGCGTCGAATAAAACTGATCGACGCCCCACAGTCAACTAGGGGCGAAGTGACATTCCACTTGTCACTTCGATCTTCAAAGTGATGAAAGACACCTCATCACTAGGGGCAGTAACACACAGCGACTGTGTGTTGGTAGCAATCTTCGTCAAGAGTCCTGCAAATTCTCTTGACGTTGCTGGATCAGCAGGGTGCTCCGCCCCTACTGACCCTGACCGTTTTTTGGCGGTCTGATTTGCTGTCGCGGTTTAGCGACATGGTCGGACCCGCGCCTTGGACCTTTCCTCGGCCAACGGCGGTCATCGCGTCTTGTCTTTAAACGTGATACGGTGCTTGGGACACTACACTCATGATCGTAGTGACCGATCTTCTGACAGCGAAGGCATCTTGACGAATGCTTGTGACTCAGAGAGCGTGAGTTCTCGCTCTCGATATCGATAGAGGTCCATTGGTTCGGGACCTCCTGTTTCCTGTCGTATCGTCGGACGATAGTTCAACAAGTTAGCCTGAGACTGTCTCAGGCTGAAGTCTTCTTGTTCCGCATACGCTATCGCCTTTTCCAGCGTATGAAAGTCCTCTCGGAACATGTAGGTCTTCACCATTCCATCTACAAGGCCATAGATAAACACGTTGATGAAATTGTGCTCATCAACAGAATTTTCCGTGACGCTACTCGCAAGGTAGTGTAGGTGTTTTGCGTAAGCGTGCACGTCACGCTTACCTTGCTTGAGCCTCAAGAGTGCAGAGCGTGCTCTGAACTCGGCTCTTGGAGGCTAAACGTCTCTTTGAGCCGAGACTTCAAGATCTCCAACGACTCAAACACGTTTGGTTCGTAAAGCTTGAGCCCTAAGGCCCAAGTCTTTGCTCTTCTTGTCAAATTTGACAGGGCAAAGGCAAAGGTGACTCGCATCTCGTCACCCTCGATGTGCCGGGCCCTTGTGGCATCGTCTAACTCGACGAACCATCTCAAAAGGGAATTGTGGCAAAGTCACTACTCAAATTTTGTACGAGGATCGGTGGCCACACCTTTAAAGCGCCGCTTACTGGTGGAAAAGGAGGCCATGAGACTCGGCGATCCAATACGGAGGTGGAAGATGATCTTAACGGGATCGGCGAACCGATCCAACTGTCGTTAGACTAATGGGTATGGATCGACCTGGGACGGAGCGATCTGGAACGATTTACATGGAACAATCTGGGACAAGGATCTGGGACCGGGTGATGGGATATGACTCTGCGACGAAGGTGTAACATCTTGCAGAATGTTATGGGGCAATCTGGAACCAGACATCGGGATGAAGTCATACAGCTCATTGGAATGCCGGTCAAGAAGAAGTATACGTACATTGAAGCAGGCTACGATCAGATCGCAGATCGACATGTTGTGGCAACGGTTTGTTGGAGAATTGACACATCTGGGACAAGGTGACTCCCGAAAGTGCATCTGGGACCAGGTGGTACGGGTCGGTGAATCGGCAAAGAAGGTGCAACACCATACGGATCGGTGATACTCTTTACCGATCCTAAATTGGGAGTACTGATTTTGGTTACTTATACACCGATCTGGAAGTTTTGCATACTCAGGGGAGTCAAGGAAACCGATGTCGAGACGTATGAATGAAGTTGTCGATTGGATAACACTGGATGATGATATTGAAGTACGTATGAGGAGATGAAAAAGTGTTAATTGCCGATTTAGACCGGATCGACCTCCAACATCTCGATATTGGATGACAGATCGGTCATGTTCCACACTGATCATGAATATATGGTTGATGAAGATACTGGATCATGTGGAATATACTTGATAGAGGTCACTAAGTGATGTCAAGAAGTTTCATGCCGAAAGAGCCAGTGGAAGCTGTCCGAATTGACGTCGCAAAGTGAATTTGGACACATTCGGCATTTTGGGTCATATATTGGGTACTTGGGTGCCAAGAATGGGTATTTGGTACCATATAGGAGATTTTGGTCCATTTGGTGCTCTAGGTACGATATCGGGGATATTGGCGCTATCATTGGAGTACAGGGCACGAAATTTCGACACGTGGCAAGGGGGCGAACCAGATTCAAGGCGATATCGGTTTGAAGAGTGACCTATAGTTAAGAATAGGCTTAAGGGTAGGTTGGATAGTAATTTGGTTGGTTAATAAACAGACTTGAACTCTACTTCTTCTGCTCACGACGCACGTTATCCTCCCCTCTTCTCCAGGCAAGATTGATTTGGCTTCCCCGGCGGGTTAAGGCACGCGTGTTACAGGGACACAGAAGACCGATCTTGGATTGTTGGCCAAGATCGAGAAGAGCGATCCCGGGATATCTGGCCCGGATCGATCAAGTACTCACACTCAACTCAACTGCTAGGGTAGCAGCACACAACGGAAAAGGAAAAGGATTTTGGACACAGGATCGCGAGACGGCTCAAGTGGTCAGAAGATCTGGACAAGGCGTTCAAGACAAGACCGAGCAGGATCGAAGCGATCCCCTGGACAGATCGGCACGTTTCATTTTGGCGAAACAAGACACCGATCTACCCAAATTGCGCACTTCCGGCAAGATCGGCCGATCCCAAGACCAGATCGGACCGATCCCAAGGCAAGATCGACGCAGGACTTTTATTTGCTGAGTGAAGATTTCCGCACAGCAAAGACCCCGATCTCGAAGACAAATCAAGATCGGTGCGATCCAAGATCGGGATCGCAGAACCCCCGTTCGTGGTGTGAAGATTTCCGCACCGGAAGCGAACCCTCAACCCAACCTCTCAGCGAGATCGACATCTCCCAAGGCCGTTACGAAGAGCTCAAGCCAGCCCAACCGACGGGTACACAAGGTGAGCACAAGGTCATACAACAAGGCACGGATCGGAGTACCCCCTCCGTGAGTCGGCAAGTCTGGGCAAGTGGAAGATCGACACTCATACAAGCAATTTTGTGAGATCGACTTCACCACAATGGTGCGCGTGCCCGGATCTTCTGAGGCCTCTGGATTTCACCGTGAGTCCACTGGCGAAGATGTCAAGATTAAGCAAGAACCTGGGATTGAAGTGTCAGCGACAAAGGGATCGACGCAGACACGCAGAAGCACAAGATCCTCAGATCATCAGAGTTTTGGGAGGGGCTCTGATGAAATGAAAATGAAAGAGGAAGATCGAGAGATCGATCTGGAAGATAAACCTCAATTCCTCCTAGGGTCCCTTCGGGGGCCACCGCAGATCGCTCTGCAAAGAGCGATCTGCTGGATGAAAATCCAATGGTGAAAACCAAATCGGCGAAAGCCAAACCCTATATCTTAGTCGATAGATCGCCCGACCTCAAGCCGAAGAGCACAATCGCGAGATCGACCACATCAGAACGATCCGCGACGAGATCGATGGGATCAGATGTCAAAGATCGCCAGATCGGCCGAACCGTGCAATCGAAGATCGGAGCCAAAGAGGAATACGATGAAACACCAGATAAGATCGCGATGCCAAAGACGGAATATAACCCAATAAAGATCGCGTCCATGGAGAAGGAGACGACGGGTGAAGCGCGGGAGCGTGCAAAATGGCAGTACTATTATGGCCAGTTGAAGACGCTGCTCAAGACGGACCCAGTGTTCAAGATATTAAGGCCCAAGGTGATTGGTCCTCTGGATAAGCCGATCTCGGTCCCACTTCACGGGACCAACAAAGTCGACGAGATCAATTTGATTTTGCAGATGTTGGACGACATGGGTATCTGCCCTGACGCTTTTGATGGAGATGAACTGCTGAGTTGCAGCTTGGAACAGTTGAAGGACGCGGCGAATGAGTTTGTAGAGATCATGATAATGCTGGTGGGCAAAGCGAATACTCCTGAAGACAAGATCGGGACGCCCTCGGGCTCGCTCCGTAAACACCCCGCGGGATCGCCCCGCTACGCCTCGGATGACTCCGAGAGCGAGTCAGATGGATCCATCAGCATTCGTCAGATGTCTCTAGGACCATCGGGTGGAAGGTTCTTAAAGGACAAGATCGGACAAGCCAAGATCGACGCCTATAAGGGACAAGCCAAGAGCAACATGCCGCAGAGATCGGCCAGTACCCGCACTGGGCTGGAGGATCAAGAAGAGGGCGATCTAAGTCGGTACTTCAATTCAGCCATGAAGAAGTACGAGGCGGATCAACGTACAGCTTAGCGAATGAATCGACAGCCAAACCGCTACCCAGATCGACGTACTTTGCTCCAACCTTCACACGAAAGCCTTGACATGCCGGATGTGGAGATGGAGTCGGTGGGGTCGGACATTTACCAACGTATCCATGAGGGGGCGGAATACGACCCGGATGATCTATGGATGCCCGAACCACGGCGCCCTCATGTAGCCGCGACCGGTGCGACTACCGGAGGGGGAAGCATCACGCAGAGGATCAGAATCTCAGCGATTTCTGAGCTGAAAGAATTCTCAGGGAAGGATCGGGAAGAAGACAAAGCACGGACCTGGATCGGCAAAGTGAAATCAGCGTTTATCCGGGACCAAGCACCGGACGAGGAGAGATGTCTGGTCTTCGGTGATCTCATGGTGGGCCCAGCCCGCTACTGGATACCGACAGCTGAGTAGATCGACGAGATTCAATTGGAAAGAATTGATGAACAGTTTTCTTGTGGAGTATGCGGGACACGGGATGTCCGCGAGCAGGCAGTACTACCATGCAAAGAAACGATCGGAGGAAGATCCTTTACAGTACCTGTATCGGCTTAATGTGATGGGAATGCAGGCGAAGATACCGGTGATGACTGGATTGCCAGCTGCGCGCAAGGAACATGTCAATCATTTCATTGACACCTTGGACGACCCCGATCTGTCCAATCAATTGCTACTGCTGAATGTAGAAGACGCGGAGGCCATGCAAAAGACACTGCACGGATATCAACAAGGGAGATCGCGTCAAGGGAAAGTGATGATGGGATCGTCCAAATTCAGGCAGAAGGGAACTCAGGGTCCAGCGCTGTCTAAGCCTGCACGAGCGGTAAGGATGGTCCGTACCGAGGACGTCTGCAGCGAGTCAGGATCGGACACCTGCGGATCGGATTTGGAAGATCGATTGAGATCGATCCATGTGGCTGCTACTGCGGATCGCCGTTCATCCCCCAATGACGTTGCAGCAAACGCGAGATCGGTCGACCCGAACACTCGTCAAGACTATCAAGATCGCAATATGCCATTGAAGCCGTGTACTCATTGCGGATCGACCAAGCATGGAGATCTCGGTTGCTGGAAGCGGCTCACTTGCCAGAAGTGTGGGCGTGAAGGACATCCTTCTGACAATTGTTTTTTTCGTGTGTCGTGCTTGCGGTGAGATGCACGACCCGGGGAAGTGTCCCATGGAGGAGTTCTACAACATGATCCGTCAGTGGTACGTCCCGAATAAGCATGCGGGGATGCTACCAGAGAAGGCCGAGAAGATGTTAAACTAGGACGCTCGCCAGGTTTGAATCTGGTACGAGCCGAGCGTTCTGGGCTCTGCATTATTGCATACGTGGAAAAAAAGAAGACAGATCGCGAGAGTAAGCAGGATATTGACGTGGAAACAAATATATCTCGTTCGAAGTTAAAACGTGTCGCTTTCGTGTCCCATCTGAAGCGGATCGATGAGTACTCACGATCTGAACCAGCTATGGAGATCGAGCTCGCTTATGGTGAATCTCGCGGATACTGGAAACATTATTCACCCGGGAAGTGGTTCAAACAAGCGAAAGCCGTTGGCAAGATCAACAACGTAAAAGCTACTCTGTTATTTGATTCTGGTGCTGAAGTGTCGATCATTGACACCACCTTTGCTCGTGAGGTCGGTTGCAATATTGACGAAAGTCAACGACAAGAATGTATCGGGATTGGAGAAACTCCGTACATGACGGTAGGACGTACCAAGATCAAGGTGACCCTCGCGGGATCGCTGGTATACTATTTCAATGTATGGGTAGGCGATCTGGCAGGGCAAGAAGCGATTCTGGGTATGGATTTTATGGTGCCTGCTGGAGTGCGGCTCGATCTAGCGGATGGCGCGCTATGTCTACCAGAAGAAATCCGCATTCATCTCGCAGGACGTCGCCCCGCGTACGGATCGAAGATACAACATATAACGGCGAAGGACCAACACGTGGTGATCCCGGTCGGAGAGTCAAGGGAAGTGAAGATCGGGATCGGAGGGGCTAAGATGAAGTTGTGGGTCGCTAGAGGACTAGATTGGGTCCCCACTGTGATCTCGGGGTGGGGTAAGACGAAATACCTGCAGATGACCAACATTGGCGACCGTGAGATCATACTGCCCACCCACACTATATTAGGCATGTGGGTCGAAGGCGATATGGTACCGCGAACCCAAGGTTTGGTGACAGTCGGGTCGGGGAAGTACAAGGAATGGCAAACTCTGGCATATGAGGCTACGACGGATCGAGTGAACGAACTCCCGAAAGAACCGATCGGACCATTGGTAGATCGTCCTACGTATGCCGCTCCCAAACGCATCTTGAAACGTCCGTCTGATGCGTTACAGAACCTGTCTCCGGCGATCTCCACGGTAACGCCGCAAGCTAACGATGACGATTCGCAAAAGGCAGATGCTGTAGTTGCGAGGGAAGTAACGGTCAGGGGAGCCGAACTATCGCGGATGGAGAACGGTCATGAGATCGGTACCCAACATGCAACGAAGGGAGACCGCGACACCGGTCAAGAAGGGCTACGTGACATATCGTCTCTACCGAAGGCTGAGCCGACTGACCGACTGTTGAAATTGGGCCAGCCGGAAGAGACGAAGGAGCCTAAAGAAGAAATAATGCTAAATACTGAAGACGTCGAGATTGCAGAAATACCAGTTTATCACCACGAGAGCGGAGATTTGTTTGCGGAAGATATCGAGCAGCATATGGCCGTGCTACCAGAGATGTCGGCGACTACGGAAGAAGTTACGATTGAGGACATTCAGATCGGTGATCCCGATGTGCCTCTCACCACAGATCAACAACGGCTCAGATCGCTGATCTGGAAGAGCCGTCACCTCCTCATGGGTAAAGGTAATGCTCTACCACCAGCAGCACGAGGCGCGATCTGTGATATTGATGTCGGTGGGGCAGCACCGATAGCGCAAAGAGTGCGTCCGGTCGCACCCAAATATCGGGAGAAGCTGTCAGATCTCATCAAAGGACTATTAGCAGCCAAAATCGTTCAGCCATCCACGTCACCTTGGGCGTCTCCGATAGTGGTGATCATCAAGAAGAACGGAGTGGATATTCGCCTTTGCATTGATTATCGAAGAGTGAACCAGCTGACGCGTCTGATGGTTTATCCCATGCCGTTGATCAGCGATCTGTTGGAAGATCTGGATAAAGCTCTATGGTACTGTTCGCTAGACATGGCTAGTGGATTTTGGGTCGTCGAAATGACTGAACGAGCAAAACTGATCTCAGCGTTTGTCACACCGTTTGGCTTGTTCGAGTGGCTGCGAATGCCTTTTGGGCTTAAGAACGCGCCCCAGATCTACCAACGTCTGGTGGACAATGCGTTGTATGGATATCTCAAGATCGGCCAGAGATCAGCTTCTGATGGCCCGATCGACGTGTTCAAAGATGGAGAACCTGAGACAGATCGACGACCGTCTATACTGGGACGCCGATCTTACATTGACGATATTCTCATACCAGCCACGTCATGGGGATCTTTGTACACAAAAGTAGAACGGTTGCTGGAGGCATGTGATAAGTGGAATCTGTTTATCAGCCTCACGAAGAGCTTTTGGGGGTGCCGTAAGGTCGATTATTTGGGACATCGAGTGTCGATGGATGGTCTGGAGGCTCAGCCCAAGAACCTAGAGTCGTTGGTTAACATCCCGTTTCCTAGCACGCTACGAGCTATGCAATCCTTTCTCGGGAGCTTGAACTACTACCGTCGCTTCATTGAGGATTTCGCGGTGTATGCCGCGGTGTTGTATGAGTTAAGAGAATCGGATTTCTTTGAGATCGGCCGATCTCAGCTTGCAGCAGGAGACGAATGCTCCAACGAGGGTCGATGGACGGAAGCCAAGGTTGCTTTCACTATGCTAAAAGCTAAGATAGCTACAGCTCCCATGCTCAAGCATTTCGACCCAGATCGGTCCCCCGTAATCGTGGTCTACGCTAGCAAGTGGGCTGTCTCAGCGGCCCTGATACAGGAGTACGATGGCGTGTACCATCCGGTTACGTTTACTAGCCGCACTTTAAAGCCTAATGAGCTTAACTACGGAACGGTAGAAAAAGAAGTGCTGGCGCTACTTCGTGTGTTGGATGTATGCTATACTACGCTTGCCTCGCGGGAGATCACTGTACTGACCCGACATTCTACATTAGCCTGGTTGATGCAGTCTCGAGGGCTCAACGGGAGATTAGGACGGTGGGCTGCTTTGTTGTCAAATTGGACTATGGAGGTGAAGAAATGTGAAAGAGGAGAGGAAGAGATCCTGGGCATGTTAGCAGCGAGTATCACTCCGAGAGGAGAAGTGGAAGAGATGCTGATTGCGATCTCCCCACGAAAAGACTGTCGACTCAAAATATCGATGCCTCCTCCAACGGTGGAAACAGATGAGGAGTTGCTGGTGGCCAGTTTCGATGGATCGGCTAGGATAAAAAAAGAAAGGAGGGTCGTTCAGTGCCGTGATATGGAAGTTACCCGAATGGACGATCGTGGCGGCCGAATCGAGATATGTTCACGATCTGACTGTGAATGAAGCTGAGTATAATGGCTTGCTACTGTGCTTTGAGTTACTCGCCGATCTGGATAGGGGGCGAGTAATACTGTGTGGAGATTCCAGTCTGGTGATTCGACAGATGCGCGGTGAGATCGACTGCAAGGCACCGGGCCTTCAGCTTCTGAGACACAAAGCGTTGGAGAAGCTGCAGTCATGGCCTAGTCACGAGTTTCTGCATATGAAGCGAGAGTGGAATCAGAGCGCAGATCGACTAGCCAGCACAGCATTGCAGAGCGAAAAGGGAAGAACGGTTGTAGCTGAAGAGGATCGGCAAGATCTGATGACTCTGAACCGTCTCGACGAATTGTTGAAGCCCAAGCAAGATGGTCAGCTAGCTCGGGTAACTGCGATCGCGAGATCAGCCAGGAGGATACGTCATGAACCTGAAGTGATACAGGAGGAGATAGTACAGAGGATCAGGATTCAACGAATTGTCCAAGCTCAAGATGAAGAGCGTTGGATTGTCAATCTCAAGACATATCTAAGTGGCGATGTGTTAAACTTGGATGCGGTAGAAGTGAAGATGTGCGCCAAACTGGCGCCGGAATACGAGATCGATGAGAACAATCTGCTATTTTTTTGCCCCATGGCGAAAAGAGAGTCGGAAGATCGCGATGGTTTGATGCGGTTGGTGATCCCTGAGACGTTGCAGCAGGATTTTTGCATCACTATCACACGAGTCTGGAAGGAGGCCATCAGGGTATTGGCCGAACCTATCAGAGGATCAGATCGCGATTTCATTGGAGAGGACTGTATCGGAGCGTTCAACGATATGTGGGCGAATGTACCGACTGTGAGACCGGGAAAGGAAACCCGATGATTAATGGGAAATCCCCGGGCAATCTACACGCAACCTATCCATTCCAGATCATCGCCATGGATCATATACCGTCGTTGCCCAAGTCCATCAAGGGGAACACCGAACTGCTCATTTGGGTCGACCTTTTCTCGGGATATGTGATTGCAAAGGCTAGCTCCTCTCGGACGGCACAAACAATAGCGGAGAATTACGAAGAATGTGTGTTTCGACGCTTCGGAGCTAGCGAGGCTATCAGGCACGATCGAGAACCGGGATTTATGTCCGACTTCTTTCGAGCCTTCAGTCGGATCGTAGGACAAAAACAGCGTGCTACTATGGCTTACAGGCCACAAGCAAATGGAACAGCCGAACGAATGGTGCAAACCCTGACACATTCGCTCAAGATGTACGTGGCTGAAGTTGACCAGCGAGACTGGGATGAGTATGCTGAGCGGCTCACATTTGCCATTAACACTGCACAAGATCGGATCCGGGGGATACCCCGTTTTATCTGATTCATGGGTGGGACCCGCGATCGACTTTGGAGGCTACGCTACCAGTGGGGAATACGGGGACACGAGATCGCGATCCAAAGAGGTGGAGATACAAAATCCAAAGACAATACCAGCGAGCCCGATCTGCAGTGAACGATCGTTTACAAGCCGCGATCCAGGAGCGAGCGGATCGACACAACGAAGATCTGGAACCACACGAGATCGAAGTAGGAGCGCAAGTTTGGCTATACCTGGACCGAGTTAAAGAGGGATATGCGAAGAAGCTAGCGCACATGTGGCATGGGCCATTCCGAGTTGCGGACGTATGTGGAGATCATGCTGTAAAATTGGAGATCGCTGGAACCCCATATCGGTTATTTCCGATTGTACATATATCGAAGCTAAAAAAGGTAAAGACGTTCCCTGAACGCCCGAAGGATCAGCTTACGATAGAGGGATCAGATCGCTTGGATTTCGATGAAGCTCTGCTGCCAGAAGACAGTTGGGATGGCGATCTTGAAGAAGGGGAATACGAAGTAGAGGCAATATTGGACGTGCGATCTGGTAGAAAAACCCGTTATGGGCGAGTACACCGGCAGTTTCTGGTGAAGTGGAAGGGATATCCCGATCTAAGTTGGGTGGACGAGGCCGATCTAAGTTGTGGGGCGATCTTGCAAGAGTTTGAGCGGAACCGAGTGAGTCGAAACCGTTTCGACGTAATGCAGTCTCATGAAGGCAAGTCGGACGAACCTTAACAGTTCGAACAAGTATGCGGGAGGTAGCATATGCGGATGTAGGGGTTGAAAGATGTGCTAGACGGTAGCACATGCTGGTGGATGAGGTTTTTGTATGTGAGTATGGAGATAGTCAAGTGAATTACCTTCCTGAATGATGTGGAGCGATGAGGATCGAGATCGTGGAAGCTGCAAAGAATTGAAGTACCAAAAAGAAGATGATTGAATGACTTACACGATTATGAAAGACGATCGGGCTTGGATATCGACCTTGGACTAAGACGATGGAGCAGGTTTGAACTTGTCCTGCAGACGAGGGATCTGCGATCCGGGATGATCCCAATAGGCGAGACAGAAACATGGTGGATCCTTCTGAAGAGATCGCCGAGGTGGGTGGATGCGTCGGAGAGGCCATGAGACGGACTTGAGTGCTTGGAACGAAGTTGATGAGTGACTGTACTGAGGTCAATTGCTGTACAAAATACTTCAGTACAGGGGGCGGTTGTGGCAAAGTCACTACTCAAATTTTGTACGAGGATCGGTGGCCACACCTTTAAAGCGCCGCTTACTGGTGGAAAAGGAGGCCATGAGACTCGGCGATCCAATACGGAGGTGGAAGATGATCTTAACGGGATCGGCGAACCGGTCCAACTGTCGTTAGACTAATGGGTGTGAATCGACCTGGGACGGAGCGATCTGGAACGATTTACATGGAACAATCTGGGACAAGGATCTGGGACCGGGTGATGGGATATGACTCTGCGACGAAGGTGTAACATCTTGCAGAATGTTATGGGGCAATCTGGAACCAGACATCGGGATGAAGTCATACAGCTCATTGGAATGCCGGTCAAGAAGAAGTATACGTACATTGAAGCAGGCTACGATCAGATCGCAGATCGACATGTTGTGGCAACGGTTTGTTGGAGAATTGACACATCTGGGACAAGGTGACTCCCCAAAGTGCATCTGGGACCAGGTGGTACGGGTCGGTGAATCGGCAAAGAAGGTGCAACACCATACGGATCGGTGATACTCTTTACCGATCCTAAATTGGGAGTACTGATTTTGGTTAATTATACACCGATCTGGAAGTTTTGCATACTCAGGGGAGTCAAGGAAACCGATGTCGAGACGTATGAATGAAGTTGTCGATTGGATAACACTGGAGGATGATATTGAAGCACGTATGAGGAGATGAAAAAGTGTTAATTGCCGATTTAGACCGGATCAACCTCCAACATCTCGATATTGGATGACAGATCGGTCATTTTCCACACTGATCATGAATATATGGTTGATGAAGACACTGTATCATGTGGAATATACTTGATAGAGGTCACTAAGTGATGTCAAGAAGTTTCATGCCGAAAGAGCCAGTGGAAGCTGTCCGAATTGACGTCGCAAAGTGAATTTGGACACATTCGGCATTTTGGGTCATATATTGGGTACTTGGGTGCCAAGAATGGGTATTTGGTACCATATAGGAGATTTTGGTCCATTTGGTGCTCTAGGTACGATATCGGGGATATTGGCGCTATCATTGGAGTACAGGGCACGAAATTTCGACACGTGGCAAGGGGGCGATCCAGATTCAAGGCGATATCGGTTTGAAGAGTGACCTATAGTTAAGAATAGGCTTAAGGGTAGGTTGGATAGTAATTTGGTTGGTTAATAAAACAGACTTGAACTCTACTTCTTCTGCTCACGACGCACGTTATCCTCCCCTCTTCTCCAGGCAAGATTGATTTGGCTTCCCCGGCGGGTTAAGGCACGCGTGTTACAGGGACACAGAAGACCGATCTTGGATTGTTGGCCAAGATCGAGAAGAGCGATCCCGGGATATCTGGCCCGGATCGATCAAGTACTCACACTCAACTCAACTGCTAGGGTAGCAGCACACAACGGAAAAGGAAAAGGATTTTGGACACAGGATCGCGAGACGGCTCAAGTGGTCAGAAGATCTGGACAAGGCGTTCAAGACAAGACCGAGCAGGATCGAAGCGATCCCCTGGACAGATCGGCACGTTTCATTTTGGCGAAACAAGACACCGATCTACCCAAATTGCGCACTTCCGGCAAGATCGGCCGATCCCAAGACCAGATCGGACCGATCCCAAGGCAAGATCGACGCAGGACCTTAATTTGCTGAGTGAAGATTTCCGCACAGCAAAGACCCCGATCTCGAAGACAAATCAAGATCGGTGCGATCCAAGATCGGGATCGCAGAACCCCCGTTCGTGGTGTGAAGATTTCCGCACCGGAAGCGAACCCTCAACCCAACCTCTCAGCGAGATCGACATCTCCCAAGGCCGTTACGAAGAGCTCAAGCCAGCCCAACCGACGGGTACACAAGGTGAGCACAAGGTCATACAACAAGGCACGGATCGGAGTACCCCCTCCGTGAGTCGGCAAGTCTGGGCAAGTGGAAGATCGACACTCATACAAGCAATTTTGTGAGATCGACTTCACCACACGAACACCGTTCAACAGCTCACGGGGAGACCCGGTCAGCATGGAACTTGCCTCAGTTAATGCTGAGGTCGGGGAAGCACTGAAGGACCCACACCCTCCGGATCCCATAGGGGTGGGCCAGTCTGCAGCTCTCACAGGACAGCGGGTGGAGGAAGAGGGGTCCCAACCCTCCCTCGATCAACATCAGTGTGGACCACACACTCATGCTCGGGCCACTCAATTTGAGAATGGAGGGGGCGGGACCCAGCCAGGCATGACGTTACGTGCGACGGGAAAGGGCAGTTGGGGGCGGGATTTCGGCTTGGAGCGGGCAGGACGTATGGGCGGGGGCGAATGTGTGAATGGATCTAGTCCGGACCAACATCGGTCATCCCCCACTTCTTCGTCGAGGGCTGCGGGTGCGCCCAATCCGTCGGGGCGCTTGCAGCGTTCAGCACGCGTCGCTTCATCTACCAGCGATTCCGATACTGCACGGGACAGGGCGGCAGCTGAGGTTCCGGTGGGGAGGTTGGACCACTCTTTGCACTCCCCCGCCCCGACTGGTACGGATCCAGTTCTTGGGGAAACTCAGCGGGGGCGGCCGGTTCCGAACGAGGATTCTGCAGAAGTAAAGGTTCAGCCTCCTCCCACTATGAGCGCTGAAGAGATGTTTCGGGCTGTCACGACAGAATTATAAGCCTCGCCGGAGGCGGAGCAACGCGATTCCTGGAAGGCGACCGTAGTGGCTTTATTTGCTGACGTGTTGGAGTCTGTAAAGGTCAATCCGGATCGTGTGCCGCCGGCTAAGAAACGCTATCCGCTACTGAAGGGAGTGGAGCCAGCGCTTCTCCTCAGTTTTTTTTAGCAAGTGAGTGTCGTGGATAGCTGTACCTTCGAGCAATGGTGCGGGTATGCGCGGACAATAAGTCGAGACTTGTATAATACGACATGGTCGCTGTCGACCATTTTAGCGAGCATGACCAGCAAGGTCAAATGGGCACGTAAACCTGTTATGAACCAATGGGCTGTAACGGTAGCCGGGCGGACTACACCAGCCAGATCGGACGAGACTCTCCCTGCTCGAGAACATTACCAGCAGTATATGTTCAATCCGGAAAAATATGCTGCGGCTACCGTTGCTCGGCTCCGTTCACTGTGTGAAGCGCAGGACACACGCTCCACGGGTACCCGGCTTCGGGATGGTACGGATGAAGAGTGGGAAATCATTCAGGGACTGGCGGAGGGTCACTTTGTGAGCCGCTCATGCCCACACATTTTATCAAGAAAGTGTTAATGCGAAAGATCGATTGCGACTCCAGTCGACCATTCAGCTGCAAGTCGAAGGAGAGCTATCATTCTCATTGGCTGGGCAAGGAGCAATCCCATCCAGTCGACAGCATACCCAGGCACTGAAGGAAGACATACTGCTGGCGGCCGAAGGGTTGAAGGTGAATCTACAGGCACTGCACACCATGCTCAGTCAGGCGAAGACAATCGGGTACAACACGGTTCAGAAGTCGATTAACATTCGCTTTTTTCAGCGAGCTACGGCGACTAAATTTCAGAACACACTCGTGCCGTTTCGTCGGAAAATCTACCGCCTCCACAATCGGCACGCACCCACTTCTGGTTCAGTGTGGGATCGCCAAGTCGGAGCCGATGGTACTCGCCTCACGATGCAGACTGAGTATGTTATTCGACTCTACAATGTTACGCGCTACATGGACATTGGACGCTTTACAGCATTCTTGACGGCCCACATAAGTCCTGAATTTGATCTGGAACCTTTGGACACGTGCACACCGGACTCTAGGACATCAACGGTGTGGCGACTGACGATCCAATTAGCAGGCTGCCCCGATTTTCTTCGTGATGTGGTGCGCCTACTATGGTTTGGTACAGTAATCGTTCTCAAACACCCCGAAGTGGGGAAGAGGCTGCAATGTTTACGGTGCGGGAACATAGGCCATACTATGGCAAGGTGTGGATTTTCGACGGAGCAGCTGCGTGGCCCCGGCAGTATTGTGGCTTCCGAGGAAGAGGCGTCGCAGCTGGAGGATCTGGCTGGTCCTTTGGTCCTTCCGTAGCTTTGCCGAGATACGCGACATCGCGGCCCAGCGTATACGCCTTCAAGACCAAGCAGATACGGTCTCTGCACAGGCAGTCCATCCCCCTTCTATTGAGGTGCCCACGCTTGCCGTGGACCGCGTCAACTCCGACGGCCGTGATGGTCGTATCGTGGCGGCGTCCGGAATTGGTGGTCTTTCAACCGCCCAACCTGACCAGTCTGGACAAACACCACTTGCGCAGCCCAAACCTAAGCCTAGGCCACAATGGGTGACAGTCTCTATTTCTCAGGGACGGAAGGCATTAAGTGCTACGAAGACATCATCTAGCCGGCGTGCATTTTTGTCATCGCGGTATGCCGTACTGGCCGACCAACATGAGGTCGACGTCGAAGAGGACGAGGCGGTTGTTTCTGCACCTTTTTCTGCTCTCGAAGAACCGGATACGAGCGGTGCAGGAGCGCTCGCGGCCGTACGACACTCTGACAAAGCCACGGATTCTACGGTCCAGCTTCGGCTGATAAAGGAAACACCACCGAAGCTTCCACTGACGCCTCAATTAGTGGCGCTAAAACAGAAGGAACGGACCGAGCTTCTCAGGAATATCGCTCAAGTGGAGGGTTACTGTTGATCTCGTGTATTGCCGCGGCTGCCAGATGGCGTTGATCTGGGGTCCGGGTCGTACGATATTATCCAACAGCAGTTGGATATTCTGCCTGTTCAGACTCCGGCGAACGGGGTTGTTTGGCCATGGCATTGGTCCAGGCGCTCGCTAACAACGATTTGCGCCACCGAAATAAAATCCTCCTCTCCGCTACATCTAGCTTAAAAAGAGGCATCATATGCAGGACAGATGCACATGATGGATCAATTCAGCCACCAAGCCCGAGTGACCACTTTGGTGAACGTTGCCAGAGGCTGGATGGATATGCCGAGGAGTGAAGCTACCAAACAGTTTTAATGGTACCTTGAAGAATACGCGTCCAGTCTCACTGACATGACTACAATGTTGGACCGATACTATTGGGGAGGGTGTGAGACGCTGACTATGGCATCGAACTTTCTTCAACAAACAATCTATGTTTTTTGTCAAGCGACTGATGGGTCGCAGTGTTGGCACTGTGGGTTTTATCGGCCTAGTTTAATGACCAAGGCACGTCGGGTTATTGAAACGGGAGAGCAAATTATTATCACCGTTCAAGAGTGTGTTGAGAAGATCAGGGCAGTCAAGGGTGATAGGTCAAGCCCACCACCGTTGATCCTTAAGTACGAGGATGGCCACTACTCTGCCTTTGTCCACCGACTGCCGACTTTGGACAAGGCTACGGGGGATGAGCGCAACGTCGACCGTGGTGGTTCCTCCGGTGAAGACATGAGTGACATCGTAAGAGATATTGATGAGGAAATGAAGGAATCAGCGGAGCCGATCGAGGCGACCGACCAATATGACGATTTATAGCGGAATGGGGCCGTTCAAGCCGCGATTTCCGCCCCGCCGCCACCACTTCAGCAGTCACATGTACCACGCACTTTAACCAGCGCTGACCCGGCGGCTGGAAGGGGCGTTATCGGGATTTCCACAGCTCTGGCGTTGCGGGTATCTCCACGAGCATTTCAATTGAGCGCTCCTAAAACGATGACTCACGTCTTGGCACCAGATGAACGCGGAAAGAAGGCTGTGATTGTTCGAAACAAACCCACTGCTCTGGTAATAAAATAGGCAGCAGCAACAACGACAGGCTGCTCCTCGAAGCAGGTCCGGCCAAGGTATTGCAACTCGAGAGCAGCAAGACGTGGCAGGAAATGTGGCTAGATTTAGCGTAGGAATGGCCAAAGCAGTCGAAGGTCGTTTTCCCCACAGTTTACAGCTCGCCTGCGCAGTGGGTTCAAGCGGCGAAAGTGGAATCGAGACTCCTTCTCCGGATGATATAACGATTTCCGCATAAAAGTGCATTATTGACGATCTTGAGTGATGAAACCGTACAAACATGGACCGCGACCTGGCGACAAGAGTGTATGTACTCCTGTTTAATGGCTTACTGCATCCGTACAACAGATAAAGATACTCAGATCTGGCTTGACGATTGGAAGGGGCGGACGTCACGGCGCTTAGCGGGTTCCATGCTGTCTCCTCTAATTGACAATAGTGATGACTGGCGCCGTTTACGTGACAAGGCTATGCCAGCGATGAATTATTACGCCGTTGCGATGTGCATCACAAGACGCAGTTAGCGCGTCACATTTTATGTGTGCTGATCTATCACGACGAAATTATAGCACTAACGGGCAGCGACGAGGAGCCTGATGACGGCGTTACGACGCGGTTGCGACGGCATTTTGCCGGGCTGAAGAGTAATAAACCGTATCGGGAGGCATACGCAGCCATGATCGCCTCTGCGGACTGGTCGATATTAGAGACGTTTTATGAGCAAGCGCTCGCCCAGATGAGTCCTCAACGGACTCTTCACTACTAAGGGCATCCACCACCGTCAACGCCAAGCTCGCCGGCATCTACTGCTAGCTAGTGCCCCGGCGGACGTCGATGTCTATGGCACACACTATCTCCTCAAAAGCGGTTTTATGGGCCAAACGGTCACCCATGATGTCATTTGTCGAAGTAAGCGGGTGGTGTGTGTCGACACACAAAATGTCCGCGGTTTCAAGGACACGACTCGTGATCGGTGGATGGAGGCATGGAAAAGAGGTCCTACCAACAATAGACCCATCGTGCGCTGTTTGCAAGAAACACATGTCGACAGCGTGGAATTAGCGGAGAAGCTTCGATATAATTGAGGGCGGCGGTGGGGGTACACTTCACGTTTTGACGGATCCCCTCTACCTAACTGGAATGTCGGGAATGGAAAAAGCGGAGGGGTGACTTTCTTACTGGATCCTAGCCGTGCTTAAGATGCAACTCCTTGGCACCCAGAACTCTGGACGGAACGCGCTGCAGGTTTGATGCTAGCGGGGGTCTTGTTAGTTAACATGTATGCCCCTAATAGCCCCAACGAGCGCGAAGAATTTTTCTCCCGGCTGCTGCACTGGCCATGGCCGTCATGCGCAGTAGTCCTGGCGGGCGACTTCAACTCTGTTCAAAGTCCAGTATTGGATCGGCTCGGGGGTCGCAGACCGGGGCGCCCGGAAAGTGCAGCGCTTGCTGACCTCATCACCAGGTTGGGACTCACCGATGCGCGCATTCTAGCGGCACCACTCGACGATGTGGATACTCCCGACCCAACCGAATATTTTACTTACTGGACTCATATCACAGCAAGCAGAATTGACAGGTTTTACGTTCCGCACCAGTGGACATCGAGGGTGCAATGGGTTGAGGTTTCAGCTCCTCCTGTCGACTCTGATCATCAGCAGGTTTAGCTCCTAGTAACGCAGAGTATGTGGAATATTCCGATCACTAACAAGAAGCGCGTGGTCACTTACCCCATTAGATCTTCCCAAGCGACGAGAGTCAAGGCGGATTTATTGGCGGAGATGATCAATAACGAAGTGGGGCGGTCAGTCACAGCGAGTACCTGGGACCATATGATCACCACGTGCGTCGCGGCGATTCGGACCATCCGGAAGCAACATAAACAGCGTAGTACACGGTATGCTAACCGATTACAAGCTCAAGCGCGTGCCGGACTCTATTCCAGAAAGCAGCTTATCCAAGCCAATCAGGACTCTTTACGAGCTGATTATTTAATTGCGGCGGGGAATCGACTGGAGCGAACGACTGATCGACTGCGGTGGAATTTTAAGCGGGTCTCCGACTGGGAGGCGGACCAGACGGTAACTGGCTTACGACATCTTCACGGGGTACCATTTGCCCGTCAAGCCTGTACTGCTGACCGCTTTGCGACGGAATGGCAGCCTATACTTGGGTGCAGTCATATCACAATCCCAACGAGCTCACTGGACCACGCATTTACGGCTTTTGTGACGATACCAGCGGACCGACACATGACACAATCGGACAATTATCACCTTGTCCAACCAATTCAACTACCTGAGATGATCGCGGCTTTTGCTGCTTAGCAGACACAAAGCGGCGGGGCCGGATGGTCTTAATAATGATTTCTATATCGACAACCAAGCTCTGTTAGCACCGGTCATGGTAACAATTGGTAACGAACTTCTGGCAGGTAAAAACCCACCCTCTTCATTTCTGGATGGACTCATCATCCCACTTCGTAAGAGAGGTGACTCCGCCGATGCCATGGATTATCGGCCGATTTCGTTGCTACAACACGGTACAAGCTCTTTGCAAAAGTCTTGGCTACACGAATGCAACGCGTTCTGACGAAACCAATAGGCGATACACAGCAAGGATTCGTCCATGATCGCCACATGATGAAAACAGTGATGATGATGTTGGCAGTCTTAGCTACTGCCCAGAATGAACAAGATGTCACCGCGCAGAA